TTTTAATAATGAGACCAACAGACTGGAGGAAGCCATAACCCTGGTGTGCCCATGCGGCCCCGGATGTCACCAGGGTTACTGGCGGGGGCACTCAGAAAGCCCTGCTGTGGTCTCTGTGCTGCCGATACGACCTTCTCAGTAACAGACGAGCCATCCTGATCTCCATCAGTCTGATTTCTCTGTTTTTTCAATGTGCTCTGGACTCAAGGGGCAGGACAAGGATGTAGTCATCACCACCCAACCCCAACAGTCCTCTGCACTCTCCAGATGGCGTCTCTCATACTAAGTTCAGTTTCTCAGGACATTTTGAAGGTGATGCTGACAAACCAGAACGCACTGAGAAGCCAGGGTCATGCCTGCACCGGGACCGTGTGCTATGACTCCCAGTGTGGGTGTGGACGGGCCTGTACGTCAGACTGGGGTGGGCCTGGGGGAGGGGGAGCAGCATCTGTGACCCGAAATGGTCTTTGGCAAAGAAGATGCCAGAGGTGGGCCTTATTACTCTAGAGCTGGGGTCAGGGAACTCTGCCCACAGGCCTTCTGTTAAGCCACGCCCATCCACGCCCATCCTGCCGCTGCTCTTGTGCTCTACAAAGGCACAGCTGAGCAGCCTGGACAGAGACAGGGTGGACTGTGAAGCCTAACATATGTACTAGCTGGCTCTTGAGAGAAAAAATTGGCAGACCTCTTGTCTAGACCTAGGAGAGTAACTCTAACAGCCTGGCGGTATAGAGAGGGAGGGAGGGGCTGACGGAGGGAGGGAGGGAGAGGGAGGGAGGGATGTATGGGTGGGTGGATAGATGGATGGATGGATGGATGGATGGATGAAGGAAAACGAGTGGGCTTAGAGCTGGGGCCTTTAGTGGGGAAACCGGGAAAGGCTAACAGGAAGGGGCTGGGGTGGAACCCCCCTCACCAGGCCTTCCTGTGTGGGACTCCCTCCTCACATGAGCTGAGCCAGACTGAATTATTTACACCTAGCTGGGTGAGTTGCTAGATGCTGAAGAAAGCAGATTTGTCTCTCCTCTTTGAGGATGGGCAGCATAGAAACAATGTAAAACCAAGCACAGGTAATCAAAACCGTTTTAATGATTACTGTTTAGACATTAACATTGTGGGTGTACCCCGATGAGCTGAAGCACACTCCGACCGCACACTACTGAGTGTTACAGTTTCTGTATTGAAATATGTAAAGACGTTCGCAAACTAGTACCTAGGGAGACACACATTTACAAATACACACATTCTAGATCGGATAAGGGAGATGTAAACAGAGGCCAGACTCCTTCCAAACAAAACCCACGAGACACGTTAGGAGAACCAACCGGTTCCCTGTAATATGAATGTGCAAAATTAAAGCATGATAAACTGATATTTACATAAATACCAAACCAACAATTAGCTTCTACATTGTCAGTGACCTTCTCAAATGTGTCACGAGTGGTTTTTCAATCCCCTCCTTGGAGAAGGTGGTTCGGAGGCTAAATTCCAACACTTTTAAAATGACACACACCACAGTTCTTACCTGTCCGACCACGGCCTCGAGGGCATGAGACATGATTTTATGATCAGCAGTCTTATTTTTAAACAAGCAGTTCTAAACGAATCTTTAGCTTCTAAGTAGGGAAGAAAACAAAAATTACAGTTGCTATTAGATTTACACTGAACAAATGATCCAGTTCCCCAGTTCTCCTATGCTGTAGCTGTCTGTTTAATTTTACCTTAAATTTTCTAAGGTCCCTTCCCCTCCCTTTATTCATTTTGGTAAGCTAGGCACATTTTTAAAGGAAGTTTGTGTCAAAACAGATTAGCAGTACAGAAGGTAACTCAAATTTGGACCCCGGCAACCAGTTTACCAGCACTCATCTATGGGACTCTGTCAAACAGTAAATATTCAATCCTCTCTCTTGAAAAGTATCTCTCTTCTCTCACAAGTGGAAAGCAAGATGGGCTTTGTCTCCCGAATAAAAACACTTAGCACTTCTGAAATTTAAAACAGCCTACTCAACCCACACACTTCCTAAAATCTTGAAGACAAAGAATATACATTTACGTTCCATCGAGACGGCTTTAGAACCTCCCCCCTACCCCGCTTTTTACATTATTCATAGTGGCACTCAAAATAAAAAAATAAGATCTGTTAAAAAGTTAGACTGACTATTCCACTAGATTTGAGCCTGCCTGACTTAAAGCCAATATTATAAAACCAAAGGTGCCGACTTCACACGTACAAGTCACTTGACATTATGTGTCACACGATAGTTGTGTAAATCACAATCTTTGATTTTTCTGGAGCTATTAAGAAAGGAATGAAAACTTGAAACATACCCTAATTGAAACTAATACACTTTGGGCCCTGCTTTTTAAATTTTAAGGCATGTGTGTTTCTCTGCTGTAACAACATTATACAAATTTACAATCACATGCATGATCTACAGGTTAAAAAAAAAAAAGGTTTGGATTACAGTGTTCTTCAGTTGTGAATCACAATTCAGCACCCATCATGTTACAACTAATAAGGCAACAGCAGTGTCGGGTACCGCGGCAACACTCCCTCCAGTCTAGCGCAGGGGTCGGGGAGAGCCCAGAAATGTTAAAAATCTTATGCCTGCTTGGGTAACCTGTCTACGTTTCCTAGGGGTTTGGAGCTGATGGAAGAGGTCCTACGCGAGTCACGCTATGGAGGCCGGCTAGTGACAGCAGCTGTGAACGAGCGACGGGCACAAGTTGCACTGTGCTTACGATCTGACCACGTGGTTCCGACCGGGTTCCGCGCTCGGACCTCAGTCCTTCCGCTGCCTCCTCGGCTTCACATGTTTTCCAGGGAAGAAAACCTGCCGGCGTGGCCGTTCACGGCAGCCACGGAGCCATTCTGGTGGTCCTTCTGCTGCTCTCTCCTCCGCGAGGCCCCCTTCTTGTTGTAGGTCTGCAAGACAGACGGGCGGGTGGGAGCTCGGCCGGGGACCCACTGCATCCCCGGCACCAGGCCTGGTCCTTTTGGGGCCAGGTGCCATCTGCGGCCAGGCACCCAGGAAAGCCTTGCCCTTCCAGTGTCTGGAGGGCAGGGGAGAGGGCCACGCTGGCCCCTCCCGCTGCAGTACCTCCTCCTCCTCCTGTCCCCTCGCATCCTCTGCCTTCACACTCGGCTCATGACTTCAGCAGTCATTTCGGCCCTGTATGTACGAAGTGCTCTGCTGCTAAGAGCAGGTAAATCAGGTGTGGTTTCGGCTTCGGTGGGCCCTGTCCTTTAACCTACCCCGTGCCCGGTCACTGCCCCAAAGTGCAGCTCAAACCTGCCACCCCCGCTGTGTCTGGGGAAAGGTGCTGGTCTGCAGGGGGCACAGGAAGGGGCAAACGCACTGAGCACCCCACTGCCTGGGACACATGAGGTCCAGGGCTGATGGGAGGCAGGTGGGGGGCGTCCAGCAGCGGCCACGAGAGGTCAGGCTCCCTTTAACGGACCCTCCCATAAGCAGAAATCTACATCACGGGACATACTTGGGAAGGACCGTCGGCCCCACACCTGAGCAGTGGGCATGTAAGAAAACCAGGACTTGGGGCAGATTTCTGTCTACAGCTGGGGACTACGATGGAGATTTCTTCAGATGTTTAACTTAGCCCCGAAGTGCAGGGCAGTGGGGCTACGACCCCTTGGCCTGTGAATCCCCTACTGTGTGTCTGCAGTGGCGGCGGAGGGAAAGGTCCGGGGTCTGCTGGATAGCTTTGCTTTCCCACGTGGACCCCAAGCCGCCCTGGCCAAAGACCTGGAACTCCAGGGACCTGGGGCAGACTTCAGCCCCTCCTACACTGGCAGACACTCCCTCCCCCAACCCAAGAAAGATGGGGGCCTTGACTGAAAAGATCCCAAATCCCAACCACACAGGAGAGTGAGATTTACCTGAATGTAGAAGTTTGTGAAGAGGGCGATCAGAGAAATCATGTATCCAATCTGGAAATACAGCCACCCAAGAGGGAAGGCACACGGCCAGATGACCCCGCAGGTGGTCTGGATGATGGTCAGCACAAACTGAAGCTGGGGGTTGGGGACAGGGGACACAGGTAAGAAGTGCAGCCACCGCCCACGGACAAGGCATCCGCCAAGTGGACGCTCTGCCCTGCACCCCCGAGTGTGGGCACTAAGACTTACAAACCTTCCTGTGGGTACAGTCATCTCAAAACCCCAGTGCACCCTCACTGTGTCCCCAGCTGTATATGCACCTGTATCTGTCTTACGTACGTGTTTCTCCCCTTCCAGCTACTGGAAACACCTTCTCTAAAGCTCAGGGAATAGCCAACAACACCATACTCCATCACCTGGAAGGAAGTTGCCGAGAGGAGATCTGAAAATTTCCCATTGCGAGAGATAAAAATCTAACTCCATATGGGGACAGATGCTTAACTAAACTTAACCGCTGTGACCCTTTTACAATACACACATGTATCAAATCGCCACGTTGTACAACTTAGACACCGACTTCAGGGACACAGTATGGGAGAGGCAAGAGTTTTTTTGTTTGATTTTTAAAAGGCAGGAAGGGTGCGGGCTGGTGTTTAGAGGGACTGGGGACGTCCTGGCAGGGCGTGCGCTCCCACGGCACACTTTCCCCATCCTTATCCTTCTGGTTTGGTGAAGGCTGAGGCTGGTAAGCAGACTTACACTCTTACTGGGATATAATGCTAATTCTGTAGATTATTTCTGATGCGTAAGTCTCGACAAGCAAGTGGGACTGCTTGGGGAGACAGGGAGGAGGGCTTAAGATAAGGTGTAGCTGCTGGAGGTGTGTCTGTTTAGAGAAGTAACAGCCTGGGGCTGGGCTCTGCCCACTGGATTTCTGGGCCACCTCCCAGGGTTTCTATGTAGGGAACATTTTTGGTTTTGTTTGTTTCCTTTTTTAAGGTTAAGTATTCTAGACTGCCAAGTAGGTAGGAAGGGTGCTCAGAATAAATCTAGGCACACTGGGTGTAATCTCCTACGTCAAAGGGCAGACTGGATACATGTGGGAGGCAGCGCTCCAGTCTGTTCTTCTAAATCGGCTTCTGCAGAGCCCTGCGCTGTGTGGTGTCTCCTGGTCTCTGCATCACTTCTCCTCGAGGGTCAGGTTAAAGAACAATCGTCCTCCCTCACAGGTGGGTGAGAAAAACATTAACAAGGATGACAGAGACGCCAGCAAAGAGGTGGCAGCAAAATGTCAAACACAGACACAGCTCAGAAGAACGAGGATTTTTTCCCCCAGGTTATTTTTCAAATGGAAAAAATCACAGCTGACTTGGAGGGATCTGAATCAGGTGGTTTCTTTTCTTTTCTTTTTTTTTCCTTCAAATATTTCACTAGGCTTTCTTTCTTTTTTTTTAATTTTTAGTTTTTTGGAGGAAGGTCATTAGATTTACTTATTTGTTTTTAGAGGAGGGACTGGGGACTGAACCCAGGACCTCGTGCATGCTAAGCACGCGCTCTACCACTGAGCTACACCCTCTCCCCAGCTTGGTTTCTTTAGAAAAGAATGTGTCAGTAAGGCAAGGCCACGGCTAAGAGGTTCGTATCTGCTATCAACAGGTCAGCGAGCTCTGGCCTATTGCCTCTGTGTCCTTGTCTATAAAACAGGGGTAATAACAGGAAATCAGGCTATAGGAACAATCCGTGTAAAACTGCTTGAGTGCCCGGCACATAGTACACTCAACAAATGTCAGTGTTTAACGTGAGCAGTAACAGTGTTAATGATTAAATAACAGTAATAATAAAATACATGTAATATATACAATAACATTATATAATTAGTAATAATAAAGTGCATGAAAGCAATCAGGAGGGGAGGGGAACAGGGTGTATGCTACACTGGCAAGTGAGGAAAGCTTAAGAATGGACGGTCGGAAATAACCACCAAGAGCAAAGGGTTGCCGGGGGCGCTGGTGTGCGAGTCCGGGCAGGGGGCCATCGCCGGAAGTACAGCAGGCACCACTGTCCCCACTACACAGGCCAGGAGGCCACCTGCCTCAGCCGAGCATCCTTGCTGCCTAATGAGCTACCGGGAAAGAAGCCTGGGCCCACGCTCCTCAAAAGCTCCTCCTGAAACTCCTGAAACACAATAAACAGATTTCACCTAGGATCTGGATCATAGTTAGCAGTCGTGTGGATGCACATGTGCTGTGCGCACAAACTAAGAACAAAGAAAGGGCTGAACCTGAAGCCAAGGAACCAGATTCCAGTCCTTGTTCTGCCATTCAACTAGCTACACACTCACGGGCACGTTTCCCCATCGACTGAAGTGAGCAGAATTCCCGGCTCTGTCCACTTCAGGGAGTTTAACTGGTCCAAGAGAGGGGGCGGGAAAGGCACAGCTCAGGTGCTGGTCAACCCCCAGTAAGCCAGGCGGGCAGAGCGCGCGGCCCAGGGAGAGCTCAGCGCCCCCCGTGGCGAGGCCTGGGGGGAGAGGCCGCGTCACTCACCAGCTGCCCCTGAGTGATGTACTTCTTCCACCAGAGGTACGGCCGCATGGACGGGATGGACGACAGGCCGTAGTACGAGTACATGAGGACGTGGATGAAGCTGTTAAGGGTGGCACCAAAATAAGCTGCAGGGACAGAGGGGGTGGGGGAGGGGTGCATCAATGCTTTACGTACAACAGGTGAAAAATAAATAAAACCCAAGATTCTTTTTAAATCCAAAAAAAAAAAGTTTTGAACAGGGGCTGGCAAATGCTGCTGCAGCAAGCCCCGCGCGGGCATGCGATCAGAGCCAACCGCCCCCCAGCAGCGCAGGCAGCCTCAAGGCTGCGTTAAGCCCAGCTCAGCTGTGGCTGCGGCGGGCCGGGGCGGGGCGGGGCGGGGCGGGCAGCTAACGCAGGAGTCAGGAGCCCTAAAGGCTTTGCTGCCGGGCCCACACCAACCCCCAGAGGCAGCTTCCCGAGCACCTCCAACTGCTGCATGGGCGACTCGGGGAGGGCAGCCGACGGCGGGACGCTGGAGGCCAGAAGCCAGTTGGCTCTACACACCTGCTGACGCTGGAGAGAACGGGGAGCCACTGCCTAACTCCTCCCTGGGCTGCGGCGCGCAGGCTGTACGCGCAGCCTTGCCAGTCATCCAGCCCCAGCCCAGCTCCTTGCAGACGAGAGACCCGTCTTTCATCTCAGGCTTCGTAACCT